AATTTCTCCAAATATTGGACACAGCTTTTTATTGCATGTCTTAAACTTTTGGCAGAGATTCTACTGGTCATACAACCTTAAGTTAGGAGACTCATTCTATACACAGCGTTGAAAGCACAATATTATTTTGGAAGTTCAGTCTGATTTCGCTCGTTGTCTCAAAGACTATCAACAATCTATAATTTACAGAACTCGATTCTACTCCAATGAAATATTCAGTGTCGTCGAAATAACAAACGGTTCGACGGACTCAATCATTTACGTTTGATTGAACCGTTTGAATTATTCATCGGACAACATTCCGCTTAAACGCGTTTCATAGTTTCTTGCGCCAACTTTAATCAATCAAAGCAAATTCCCTCCGGCCTGGCACTCGAGTTTAAAACGTAAATACGCGTTCCATCGATGGAAGTTCCCGCGGATAAAACCGTACGCGGTAGAATAAAAGGAAGCGGGAAGAAAAGTTGTATTCAGCCGGGGCAGAAATTTATTCGGGCTCAGGCGGGAGAAAGAATTCGATTCGACGTTCCAGACCGCGCGCGAACGTGAGCAGGCCATTGTTGCGACCTCGCGACGCTCGACTCGTCGCGTCGTCTTTCAAAGCGAAACGACGACGGGTCTTGTTGAATTCGAAGTAGGCGAAAATCTATGTGATACCGACGGCTGCGTCTACTTTCGATAAAGGCGCGACGCCTTTTGAGACAGACGTTTATTTAACACTGAAATCATTTTATACATTCTTTTATACCGAACGACCCAATTTCTGTTCACGTAACAATTTCTACTCACTGCCTTTTTTCGTGTCATTCTATATGGAATCGTGAGTAGAAATTATTACGTGAACAGAAATTGGGACTTTTACTACGTACCATATTTTCTGATCAGAAAATTAATGCTGATGTCTTTCTCTTTCCAGATTCTCGGTGATTCTGCCAAGCCCATCATAAGGTAAGTTTTTAAGTTTATAAAACCAGTGAACAATTCATTTTCATGAAAAGTGCGAATTGATATCTAAAACCATTTTGAGAACCTACAGTGAGAAATAGAAACAAAAGCTCACTCTGACTATAGACGACGAGTTATGTAATCTATAAATTTCTCTCTTTTTTTCCCATGAATTCCTGTATCTATTCCTGCTATCGTCACGCGGATAGATACAGGCTCGAGTAAGGGCTAGGTTATCCGATGGTCGATCCGCTTATCGATCGCATTACTTTCGCGCGACACCCACGTCGATGGTTTATGTTGTACACGATTTTCCGTCAGCGGAACAATTTTCCTATGACGAGGCGATACACCCGTCGGCGTCGTGTCACTCCACCGATCTCACGATGAAAAATAGGCCGGAGTCGATGGACAAACAGCGTAGGCCGTACGAATCTATTTGAAATTCGAAAATCTGCGTGTTTGTTCTCTTTGAATCCGCCCTGTCAGTTTTATTATCTCCACTCCGTTTCGTACACAGCAGGAAACCTCGGTTTTTTTTCTGCAATACAAGTGAGAAATGTCGATATTTTCTTTCACATTCAGTACACGATTTTTATAACTATGATCTGTACAATAAATTTTGAATTTTATATAAATCTTTTTCATTTGTATAATCGACATTCATATAGAGACATCGAAAAGTTTAGGCAAAAGGATTCATTTATTCAATTTTTAGTTAATTAGCAGTACGAAAACGGGGGATGAGGAAATATGGTAAAAAGAAATAAAAATTGAGGCATAGTTCATCACACAGTGAATAAAACATAGAACGACATAGGGTAAAGAGGACGATGTCCAGTAACGTGTCGCGACGAAACAACGACGTTGAATTATTATTAATAGCAAGAGGGGGTGGGCAAGTTTGTTTGAGAGAGAAATTTCCCGGGCGGAAGTTGGCCATTAACTCGCGTAGCTCCGGAACTGTTAAGACATCGATATCGAATGTAATTGAAAAGTCGTGCTAGCAACTTGGGCGGGTAAGACCCCCCCCCCCTAATTAGGACAAATTCGATTGCGCTAATTTACTTTAATTCTCGCGAAACTTTCTACTACCACGAATTCTCTCTAATTATTATTTTATTTGTTTTCTACAAACGAATTAGGTGATTTTAATAGATTTCGTAGAGAACGACTAATTG